AGAGCGCTTATGCGATATTGCCATTGACTACACTACAGGATACAGGTGGCACCGACATTTCAGTCACATACTGAGGAGTGAAGAGTTATGTTTCCCACAGATTGCTTTCTATGGAACTCACCGCCGCCAGGTCTTCAGTCTTTCCTTTGGCCAATCTGACCCGCAGACTGAAAAACAAGTGATCCCTGAAAGGCAGGCTTGACCTGATTTTAGCCCAACAGAAAGTTTAGCCCACGCCATGAAATAAGAGCGCACTTAAGGCTTGGGTATCGATTTCCGTGGAATCATCACACACAATGAGGATTATCCACATGGCAACATCCACAATTAACTCATTTAATAGATTTGTCAAATAAATTGGAATAAAAATTACTTTGTTCACGTTTGCGACTTTATTTATTGAAGCTTAATGAGTTAAGGTCATTAAGGTGAAAGTGATAGTTTTTCTGGATCCAATCTGTCCACCACTCAATTACCAGCTTACTCAGTATTTTGTAGTTGTTTCGTGTTCATTTCCTGATGCAATTAGATTGAAACGTTGGATTTGTTGTAAATAAAACTATTTTATCTTGTTTTCTTGTGCTGGCAACAATGCAATCAGAAGACCTATCACCTTCAAGTCATTTACGGCACGTATCGGTATGAGCCTCAGAAAATATTTAAAGGTCATTACAATCTACATAGTGCAAAGTTGTCTTGAAGGGATACAGTACGGTAGTGTCAACATTTAGAATAGAACAGATTCTTGTCAACGTTGTTTTAAGATATATACTCATTGCCTACAGTTTCTTGGAATGGTTTCCTTTATTGTAGGCCCATAATCCATCAACAGACTGTCGTGTCAACGCATGGTTAGGAAGCACAAACCTAGGACAGAAGTGTAAAGACTTTATTAATTCAATCAGTGAAACGTTTCCACATGAATTTTAAGTTTTGCTTTCATCACCATGTATCAAGAAGATAATCCGTATTACACAGTGTAGCTGATATTTGATTTTTTCTCTAATAAATTACTCAATCTTTCACCAGAATTTCAAACACGTCGTACTCTTTAGCAGCCTCAGTTGAATCCTGGCTTTGCGGTTTCTCAGAGCGACCGTTTGCCGCTTAACGGCAGCGAATTCTCCGTTTTCAAAACCGCGACGGAACCAAGTCTGCTTCCAGGGAACGATCAGAGTAAACACTCTTAAGTCTGTTAAGTGTCTCGTTTTATCCGGCAGCTGATTTGGTAGATGTCTGTTGCTTTCCGGCGTCGAACGTGATTTTTCAAGATGCAAAGCAATGCATGCCTCCCAAGAAGACACAGCAGTCAGAAAAAAGAACGAGTCACAACCTGATAGAGCGGAGGTACAGGTCAAGTATCAACGAAAAAATTCATGAATTGAAAATTCTTCTAGTCGGACCAAACGCCAAGGTACGTTTCGCGCTTTACAATTTTTTGCGGTTCTTTTGTTCAGAGCATTCCTTAGATGCTGTTTGCTTGTATAATCATTGTTTCATACTAAGATACACAAAGGATACACTGTAAGGTCGTATTTTCTAACTTATAACCTAAAAACCTAGGAAAGCCACTTTTATGCTGTAACGAGTCAGCGTTGTATTTTTCTTTTGGGATCGAGGTAAAATCTTCCACTTAGTAAATCCCACAGTTCATTAGTACCATAAATGCCCTCAGATTAATCATTACTGTCGCCAAGTGAAGATCGATGCCAAATGTACTTCCTCGTCTTTTTTTCAGGCTTGCAAGCAAAGCGTGAGATGTTTTGTACTTAAAATAATACCTAATTAAGGTTTTGTTGAAACGGTATATGTTTCATTTTAAT